AGTAGTTAGGGGTCAAAGTTCAGTGTTAGGATTAGGGGTTATGTTAGGGGTTAGTGTTGGGGTTAGGATAAGGGGTTAGGGTTAGGCAGTTAAGTAACGTTGGATGGGATTTTGCCATTTATCCACACTTGCTTTCCTCTAGTGGCTAGATATGTCAGACAATGCAACCAGCATCCTTGCTGAATTTGTATCAGAAAAAAAAGTTTTATTGTTTTCAGTAAATGCCTAGTGACAGAACTATGGCTACAGACTGGTACAAGGAGCCGTGATGTGGGGGTGATCTTTCGATCTGAGAAGAGGAGGAGAAGAGGAGAGTCTCCATTACCTTCATTACAGGTACAGCTTTCATTGGGAATTTTCGTTTGCAGACAGTATCACTGTAAAGATTGCCATGATACAAGAGACTGCCAGAGACCTAATATGGAAGAAGAAACTATTAGAGAGCCATCAGCTGCCATGTAGTCAAAGATCGTCTAAATAAATAAGAACAGCTAGTAGGGCACGCCTACAGACTGCAGCCGTGGTACAAGAAGAGACTGTTCCCATGTGACCAGAGACTGTTCCCATGTAAAAAGAGACTGTTCCCATGTAACCACAGACTGTTCCCATGTGACCAGAGACTGTTCCCATGTAACAAGAGACTGTTCCCCATGTGACCACAGACTGTTCCCATGTGACCACAGACTGTTCCCATGTGACCAGAGACTGTTCCCATGTAACAAGAGACTGTTCCCATGTGACCACAGACTGTTCCCATGTAACAAGAGACTGTTCCCATGTGACCAGAGACTGTTCCGATGCAACAAGAGACTGTTCCCATGTGACCACAGAATGTTCCCATGTAAAAAGAGACTGTTCCCATGTAACCACAGACTCGTCCCATGTGACCAGAGACTGTTCCCATGTGACCAGAGACTGTTCCCATGTAACCACAGACTGTTCCCATGTGACCAGAGACTGTTCCCATGTAACCACAGACTGTTCCCATGTGACCAGAGACTGTTCCCATGTAACCACAGACTGTTCCCATGTGACCAGAGACTGTTCCCATGTAACCACAAATTGTTCTAGAAAATTCTTCTATATTATAAGAGACTGCTGCCTTGTAAAAACCCCCAAAAGTTAGATAATGCTTTCTCACATCAGAAGTGTGTCATAAAAGGCTTCTCTCCTACAAAAGTCTGCAGCCATCTGGGAGACGTTCCCACATAACCAGAGACTGTTGGAAAACGCTTCCATGTCATTTATCTAGAAGAGAGGAGCTCTGCAGCGCCTTTGTATTTCGCCTGTTTGGAGCGATGCCATTCATCTGAATGAGCCTCCATCCACTCCCAGTGTGCGCTGAAGAACCTCGTGCACCAGATTTGGGCCTCGAGCCGACTGCGTTTTATGACGGACATTTCTGCAGGTTTTCCTCTCAAAAACGCGATGCCCAGATGTTAGCGGGGATTAAAGGGATAGAAAAGGTACAAAAAATAAATAGCAAACGTCATACCTGCTGTGTGCAGAGCAGCCCCAATCCTCCTCTTCTCGGGGTCCCCCTCCGGAGCTCCTAGCCCCTCCCCCTGTTGAGTACCCTCAGCCTGAGTAGCTTCAGTTCCCACCATATACCCAGTTATGTAAATGGAGGGATTTGTAGTCCACCATGTGACATAAAACACAAAAAATACAATTTTTGGGCGATCAGCAGCTGCTACCATTGATCAGTGTATTGTGAAAGCAGTGGGTGCAGCTGTCATAATGCAATGTCCCAGTGGGCGGGGAGGGGGTCCTCCATATACCCCATTATGTAAATGGAGGAATTTGTAGTCCACCATGTGACATAACACAAGCACAAGGCACGCTACTAGTTTACAATTTTTGGGCGATCAGCAGCTGCAGCCATTGATCAGTGTATTGTGAAAGCAGTGGGTGCAGCTGTCAGAATGCAATGTCCCAGTGGGCGGGGAGGGGGTCCTCCATATACTCCATTATGTAAATGGAGGGATTTGTAGTCCACCACGTGACACAACACAAGCACAAGGCAAGCTCCCAGTTTACAGTTTTGTGCGATCAGCAGCTGCAGCCATTGATCAGTGTATTGTGAAAGTGGTGGGTGCAGCTGTCAGAATGCAATGTCCCAGTGGGGAAGGGAGGGGGGGGGGGGGGGTTCCTCCATATACCCCATTATGTAAATGGAGGAATTTGTAGTCCACCATGTGACATAACACAAGCACAAGGCACGCTCCTAGTTTACAATTTTTGGGCGATCAGCAGCTGCAGCCATTGATCAGTGTATTGTGAAAGTGGTGGGTGCAGCTGTCAGAATGCAATGTCCCAGTGGGCGGGGGGGGGGGTTCCTCCTCCATATACCCCATTATGTAAATGGAGGGATTTGTAGTCCACCATGTGACACAACACAAGCACAAGGCAAGCTCCCAGTTTACAGTTTTGGGCGATCAGCAGCTGCAGCCATTGATCAGTGTACTGTGATAGTGGTGGGTGCAGCTGTCAGAATGCAATGTCCCAGTGGGCGGGGAGGGGGGGGTCCTCCATATACCCCATTATGTAAATGGAGGGATTTGTAGTCCACCATGTGACACAACACAAGCACAAGGCAAGCTCCCAGTTTACAGTTTTGGGCGATCAGCAGCTGCAGCCATTGATTAGTGGATGTCGCTGTCAAAATACAAATGCACATCTACATAATGAGGTGGATGGAGATGGGAGGGGGTCCCCTCGCTGGGACATTGTATTCTGACAGTAGCCCCCTCTGCTGTCAGAATACACTGATCAGTGGCTACAGCTGATTGGCTGTGGCTGTTCATGGCCCCAAAATTTTCTGGCATGATTAATGAATGGGCTCCTGTCTGCTTTACTGTCCTTATGTTCCTCAAGGAGACATTCTAGGGATCCAGGAGAAAAAAAAATGTCTTCTGCTAACATCTTTCAGCCAATTCATTGTAGCCAGTGAACCCGTTACTACATGAAGAACCTAACATTAGCATATAAGCACCTAATATTGTCATTTAATCCTTAGTAAAATATCTCATGGTCATTTTTCTTGATCCATTGTTAGGGGGTTACATACAATTTACTGCAACCACCTTCCTGCGTGGCTCCCAACCAGCAGACCTCCAATATTCCCGTCACCTGAGAACATTCCTACCTGTTGCCTTTCGCAGAATTACACGTGACGCAGCCATGCAACGAGAGAGGCCCCCGTGTTACGGAAAATGAGCACAAGGAAAGGTTCTCTTAATAGCATCACGGGCCCCTGGGCAAGGTAATGCACTGGGGCCCCTACCAGCTTGCCCCAATTTAAACACCTACTCTCAAGACAGAGGGGCACAATGTGGAGGGGGGGGGGTCAGGAGGGCACCATACTGGCATTAGGAGGGCACCATACTAGGTTCAGGAGGGCACCGTACTGGGATCAGGAGGGCACCATACTGGGGTCAGGAGGGCACCATACTGGCATTAGGAGGGCACCATACTGGGATCAGGAGAACCCCATACTGGGGTCAGGAGGGCACTGTATTGTCATCAGGAGGGCACCGTGCTGGGATCAGGAGAACACCGTGCTGGGGTCAGGAGGACACCATTCTGGGATCAGGAGGGCACCATACTGGGATCAGGAGGGCACCGTACTGGGGTCAGGAGGGCACCATACTGGGGTCAGGAGGGCACCATACTGGGGTCAGGAGGACACCATAATAGGATCAGGAGGGCACCATAATAGAATCAGGAGGGCACCATACTGGTGTTAGGAGGGCACCATACTGGGGTCAGGAGGGCACCGTGCTGGGATCAGGAGAGCACCGTGCTGGGGTCAGGAGGAGGGCACCGTAATGGGATCAGGAGGACACCGTACTGGGATCAGGAGGACACCATTCTGGGATCAGGAGGGCACCGTACTGGGGTCAGGAGGGCACCATTCTGGGGTCAGGAGGGCACCATAATAGGATCAGGAGGGCACCATACTGGGGTCAGGAGGGCACCATACTGGGGTCAGGAGGACACAATACTGGGGTCAGGAGGGCACCGAACAGGTTCTGGACATGGCCATCCCAGGACAGCTTAGTAAAAAGCATGAGTATCCTGGCAAATCTGGGACAGTTGACAAGTATGATGTAAAGTAAAATTCTCATGGGGCCCCCCTACACCTGGGGCCCTTGGGAAGTGCCTACACATTAAGACAGCCCTGGTTGAGATGATCCTAGGTGAGATTATCATCGTCATTCGGTCACACAGTCCTCAGCAATACTGTGCGTTGCCACAACTCATGGCGGTTCACCTGCTCTCTGTGCGTTGCCATTCTCCATTGTGAATGATCATAATTTGCCGCACAGCACACAACACACCCATGCATTGCGGTGCAATGCATTTTGAAAAAAAAGGGTTATTTGTGTTTTTCATGAATTGTGGCGCAGTAATATGAAGGTGCTGCCTTGACGCAACCCGCGTTAGGGGCCAAGTCACACTACATGCGTTTCAGCGTGCCGCTTCCTCTCCAGGCTCTGACATCACACGCTGTGATTGGTTGCTCTTGAATCCAGTCAATAGCGGTCAGACTTGTTTCCCTACTACCTGTACACGAGGATAGAAAGGATGACATCACTCTCCGTCACATGACCGAGCCCTCCAATAGAGTGAAGAGGGATGAGGCTCATTTGCATAGGACGCCTATAGAAGCAGCACAGAAAGTAGGTGATATGGTTGTCAATGTCATAGTTCACACCAGCGCTTGCAGTTCCAGTGCGTTCCGGTTGCAGAAAAAAAAAAGCAGAACAGACTGGATTTTTCCTGCACAGAACTGCACTGGATTGTGGTAAAATGCATAAAATCAAAAAAAAACCAAACAAAAAACACGCTGGAATGCACATGACCCTGTTCAACCGCCTCCCGCCCGCCATATAGTGCAATGACAGGCGCAAGGCGGTTCTCTCGTTCTGGGAGACGTCCTCCCATTCTAACCACACATGCGTGGCTCCAGGAGTGCGGCGATCGGCGGTGCGATGTGTCCCTCGGACACAGCAGATCATCAATCACGGAAAGAGCCAAAGATGTCGGCTCGGTCATGTGACCAGCCGTGTCCAATCACAGCTGATCACATGTAAACAGGGAAATGCTGATTATCGGCATTTCTCTCCTCTCGAGCTGTCACACTGACAGGAGAGGGGAGCCGGTAATCAGCATTCCTCGGAGGGGACATGTACACTGATCATCAGAGCACTGATGATCTGTGTAGCCCCAGCAGTGCCATCTGTCAGTGTCCATCAGTGCCACATTTCAGTGCTACCAGAGCACATCAATGCCACATATCAGTGCCCATCTGAGCTGCCTTTCAGTGTCACACATCAGTTCCAGTCAGTGTCACCTATCAATGCTGTCAATCAGTGCCACCTGTTAGTGCCCGTCAGTGCTGCCTATCAGTGTTGCCTAACAGTGCCAGTCAGTGCCACCTATCACTGCTGCCAATCAGTGCCACCTGTCAGTGCCCATCAGTGCTGCCTATCAGTGTTGCCTAAAAGTGCCAGTCAGTGCCACCTATCAATGCTGTCAATCAGTGCCACCTGTCAGTGCCCGTCAGTGCTGCCTATCAGTGTTGCCTAAAAGTGCCAGTCAGTGCCACCTATCAATGCTGTCAATCAGTGCCACCTGTCAGTGCCCATCAGCGCTGCCTATCAGTGTTGCCTAACAGTGCCAGTCAGTGCCGCCTGTCAGTGCCATATATGAGTGCTGCCTTTCAGTGCCCATCAGTGATGCCTGTCAAAGCCCATCAGTGCAGCCTCATTAGCGCACATCAGTGAAGGAGAAAAATCACTTATTTACAACATTTTATAACAAAATCTAAGACAAAAACTTTTTTTTCAAAATTTTTAGTGGTTTTTGGTTTGTTTAAGAAAAAAATAAAAATCCCCGAGGTGATTAAATACCACCAAAATAAAGCTCTATCCGTAAAAAAAATGATAAAAATATCATATGGGTACAGTGTTGCATGACCGCGCAATTGTCATTCAAAGTGTGACAGCACTGAAAGCTGACAATTGGCCTGGGCAGGAAGGGGGTATAAGTGCCCGGTAGGCGGGGGGTTAAATTGTAGAAAAAGAGAGGGGAAAAACTGAAACCGGAAAGCATCAAAAATGCACAGAAACAGCATTAAAAATGCAAATGTTGGAAGCACATCCGGAACACATCTGGACAGCGTTTCTACACTGTGAACCGGCCCCAACGCACGCCATAAGGTGCGTTAGGTAATGCATCACAATGAAGTGCTTTAGGCTTGGTTCACACCTGCAGGTAATTGGCGCACTTTTCCACGCATCTTCAGTACGTTCCCTTCTGCTGTCTATTCCTTTTTCCTGGGAGAACCGCAGAAGTCCCGGAATCTTACAAAAATGCGCCTCCCCGCCATTAGCAACGGCATTGCCGCATTTTCCGCATGTTGGGATGGTGCATGATTTTCGCCGCGTTCCTGACACACAACACCCAGCATCAGGCCGCACTCACATTGGCGCGCCACGTGAACGCACTTCTGTTTTGTACGTTTTTGCACTACATGCATTCATTTGAATGACCCCCAACATGCGACAAACACACCTGTACCCCTTTTTTGGGAAACAAGCTTTATGTGTTTTTTTTTTTTACTGTCACATTAGTTATGTGTTTTGATGCACATCTGCTGGGGTGCCGCTAACATGCCGAGTGCTGAGATGTAAATGGAGTCACATTGTGAATGAGTCCCCAACCTTTTCATCATCAAGTCATTTTCAAGGCAGCTGATTGGTAGAAATCCTGTGCACACATCCAGGTACAACACCGCCCATTGGGAAATTATGCTCTCTGTCTCCATCATGTGGACACATAAGAGTACAACACCACCCATTGGGAAATCATTCTACTCTCTGTCGCCATCATGTGGACACATGAGGGTACAACACCGCCCATTGGGAAATCATTCTACTCTCTGTCGCCATCATGTGGACACATACGTGTACAATACCGCCCATTGGGAAATCATTCTACTCTGTCGCCATCATGTGGACACATACGGGTACAACACGACCCAGTGGGAAATCATTCTACTCTCTGTCGCCATCATGTGGACACATACGGGTACAATACCGCCCATTGGGAAATCATTCTCTCTGTCGCCATCATGTGGACACATATGGGTACAACACCTGCATTTGGGAAATCATTCTGCTCTGTCTCCATCCTGTGGACACATATGGGTACAACACCGCCCATTGGGAAATCATTCTACTCTCTTGTCTCCATCCGGCCTACCAGCCCACACTCAGAGGTGTAGGTTGAGCCCCAGTCGGAGGACAGTGTGAGTCTGAGGATCACAGGGGCATGTTAGGTCCTCTTTAAGTGGTGAAAAGGGCCTTCCAAGTCTGAAGCTGCTCCATACTCATCAAGTCTTTTTTTCTTGGGGCCCATAATTATTTTGGGGGGATGGGGGGCAGATATTTGACTTCCTTCCCAAAAATGCTGCTTGTCTGACTGCTATGCCAACCCTCTGCCCGTACTTATTCCATGTCAGGGACTCAAGTCAGAGGACAAGGTGGAGCAAAGTCTGATCTGCATTGTTGTCCTGGGTCAGTGCATCAGAAATGATTGAACCCATGGGATGACAGCCAGGCAACAAGCATTTCCAGGAAAGGACAGACATGGCCACCTTCATACCCCTCTAGCCACTTCTTTCCTTCAGTCACAAATAGATGAAGATGGGGTTAGTTTTGGCTCCCAACATATAGACAAAGCATTTGCCTTATGGCTACACTTTGCACAGTGGGGCACTTTTCCGGGGACACAGTTGGGGGGACACTTTTTATGCAGACACAAACATTCCAAAACGGGGACTGTCCCTGGAAAGTGGGGACATCTTAAGGGTACAACACCACCCATTGGGAAATCATTCTACTCTCTGTCTCCATCCGGCCTACCAGCCCACCAGCCCACACTCAGAGGTGTAGGTTGAGCCCCAGTCCGAGGTCACCCTACCTATGAGGCCAGCCAGGAGCGTACCTACAGGGGTCAGGGTACTATGCTGCAGGGGGCCCTTACAGCCCCTCTGTATGCCTGGATAGGAGGAGCAGCAAGGCAGCTGTGTATAGAGGAATTGATCTCTCACTTTTCCTCCTGCAGCTGCTGAATGCCCGCTTCTCTTCTCCCTCATGCAGGCATTCAACGGCTGCAGGAGAGGAAAAAGGAGAGATCGATTCCTCTATAGACAGCCGCCCTCACCATAATATTCAGGTTGCCATTGCTGGTCAAGCATAGGGGGTGGGGGGCAGCAGGAAAAAAGCTGGATAGGAGTACCCAGCTTTTTCCTGCCGCCCCCCATGCTTTCTAGGCCCCCTGCGCTCTCTCTGCCCTCATGTTCCTTGACCCCCCGCTCTCTCCCAGTTCCCCTTTCCCCCCGCAGCTCTGCCAGGTTCCCCCCCTCCCCCGTTGACTGCTGGGGGGGGGGGATATTTAAGGATGGAGAGATGGGGAAGAGGTTCAGTAAGTGTGTAATTTACCAGCTCCTTCCTGATGCTGAATGGTCAGTCAGTGATTGGTATCGACCACTGTGACTGTCCATTCACAACTGAAACATAGTAAAACTGTGTTTACTATGCTTTGGTTTATGAATGGAGCGGGATGCTCAGTACAGAGTTCATCCTGTCCATTCATTCTGTACAGCTGATGATGCAGAGAAGGAGATGGAGGGCTTTGTCCTCCATTTCTCTTTTTCGCTGTCTCAAAGGTGAGAACATCAGAGGTTTAGGATCCCATGGGGCTCCTAAAAAAAAATTGTAAAAAAAAAATAATAATATTTGTACAAAAATGTAAATTAAAAATGGTTAAAAACAAACAAAACAAAAAAAAAAAGAAACAATTGAGTACTGTCCATGATACGTTTTTTTATTTGCACTGACATATAATTTTGAGTACAAGCTTTTGGGGTATGTCCCCTTCTTCAAGGTCCAGGCAGTACTCCAGTACTGGACTTTGAAGAAGGGGCACATTCCTTGAAAGCTTGTCCTCAAAATTATATGTCAGTGCAAATAAAAAAAAGTATCATGGACAGTACTCAATTGTTTCTGTCACAAAGTGTACTAATACAGTTACAATCACCTCAAGCAAAAAAAAAAAAAAAAATAAAAAAAAACTACTGACACCACGGTGGAACTACCAGGGTTACAAAGGTCACACCCGTGTTCGGACCCATGGCATTCCGCCACTGGGCTCAGAGGGAAGGGGTCAGGGGGGGACCTTCATGGTTTCTTGTACGAGGCCCTGAAGGTTCTAGTTACATGAGACCAGCAATGGCAACCTGAATCTCGTTCACATCGCCAAGAGTGCTGGGTAATATAATAAGGTTAGTAATGAAAACTATTGAAATTATTTATTGAATATTCATTAGCATGTTGATGAGGGAAGAAAAGCTGGAAGCAGGGAAGGGAAAATATAGTCAGGTGACACGTTCAGCGGTGAACACGCAGTAAAGGCAAAAGGGCGCTGTGCGTGGATACAATACTGTTTGGAACGCACTTACTGGAGCTCTGCATGCCACTGCTGTGCATCTATGGTGTTGCAGAGTGCTGGACAAGAGATGCGGTGCAAGAGTCACATCAGACTGTAACAGGGGCGGACTGACAACTCATGGGGCCCCCGGGCAATAGGGGATCATGGGGCCCCTGTGTCCTTGCCCAAACTCAAAAAAAGCCTATGAAAAAGGTACCAGGAGCATCTCATGGGGCCCCTACTGACCCCTGGGCCCTCGGGCAGTGCTGAGTTTCCAAATGGTCAGTCCGCCCTGGACTGTAATAGAGAATGTTCTGGAATACCACAAACTACACTAACAGGAGATCAGAGTCTTCATAAATACAAATGTATAATAAAGATCAATATCCTTCCATAGAAGCCGCTCACACCCAGACAGTCCACGTTTCAGAAGTTTGGAGACGTCTGATCTCCCATTCTGGAGGAAGTTACAATGTACAAAATGTTTCCAGTTGAGAAACGCAGAGGATCACAGATCTCCTTTCCTGCACACGTGGAATGTTTTATATAGGAAAATGAAATTCTCCCATCTTATCTGCTGCACAACATCTGAAATCTGACCTCCAGCACTTCCCTTCAGTCTTGCAGTTGTAGCGGCTCCTCTCCTGGACTGAAATGGCTTTCTCTGATTTCACTGCACACTGTGAGCTCCTCACAATGTGCATTAGAAGCTGCAGCAAGTCAGACAGAGCTCCGCCTCATTTCCAGCCTGGAGGACATCCAGCATCATCTAGCTCTTTCCTTCCTAGCCTATCCCCGTTCCTTTCCCCTTCATATTCATTGGATTTGGATTCTTTCCATCATGGAGGCTCAGCATGACATGTGGGCGTTACTTAGGGTGGTCTGCACCCAAATGTGGTCTCCTTTAGGAAAGCCGACTCCTCCAGTCTGACACCACCTTCCAAGGCATTTGCATAACATCTCCCACCACTTGCATCAGGACTGAAGGCTCCTGAGAGGAG